GGATTTTGATTTAGACAGTTCTCGACCTATCCTTCCCCCACCCCCTGCCTTTCTTTTTGTTTTTGGTCTTTCAGGACTTAAACGTTTTGATAAGTCCATGCCCATTGTTTTTCAGAATGTTGTAGTTTTTATTTTAGAATGGGACCCCTCAAAAGGCTTGTAATGTTTTCTTCCACAAAGTTCAGGATAGTGAGGTTTAAGCAGGAATGTGCATTAATTGAGGGGAAAGGAGACAGGTTGAGGATAATTGTAAGGGCACCCTAATCATAAACCATCAAATCTAAACGGGAAAGGTAGGAAGCAGGAACGTGAGTTGAGGGAGGGACAGATAATGATAAAGGAGTCAGCAGTTGACTGGAGATATCTACAGAGTCTCTGTAACATGAAAAAACTGTGTAAGAAACATAGGACACGTAGCTGGTCAGGGAATACATCTGTGCTTTTTCATTTTGTCTTCCCAAAGCCCAGTGTTTTATGGAGGGGGTAAAATGTGGGAGCGAGGTCCCATACACAAAACTATGAGCACCATTGCTAGAAGAAAAGTACAGCACATATATAAGGACTTATAAAGTCCTTAACCATAACTTTGACTTTATGTCCCATCTGCGCAGAGTGTCCATAACTCTCATACTTCATTACCCTCTCCGAATACCTGGAAGACAGTTGTGTGGTTGATAGGCAACTGCCACACAGAACATGTAAGTGACTGATGAAGTCACTAAGCACATGAATGGTAAAACTGAGTAGAGAACCAGAGCTCCCACCCACAAATTATTTTAGCCAGACGGAATGCTCCTCAGATAACACAGTGTGCATCACTCCTTAAATCACCCGCACATCGGACGGGCTGTGGTTTACCGGACACCTCTACTTCAATTCCTCTACTCGTGCCTCTGACCCTGTTGAAGCCGATGTAAATCGTTGTCTAGGAAGGATCAATTCTCAAAGTTGTACCCTAAACAAATAATTTTGGAACGAGAAGGTATACAGTAACTGAGAGCCATTTATGTTCCCCTGATTCTGGTGATCCCAGGCACAGAGCTAAGCATCTGTGGATGTGGAAAGTATCGGCCCCAGCTCTTGTACTCGGAACTATTTCATGAGCAACACTGTGTTCTACTGTATCTCCTTTCATTTATTGCCTTTCTTCACCATTGTCATCATAGGCCAGCATGCATTGAGTGTCCACGTGGTTTTGGCACTATGTAATTCTCTATTTAGACTTTTATAAAAACAACGAAGTGACAGTATGAAAAAGGAAAATATAAATATTATTCCTTTAAAAGGGCTGTCTGTGAAAGAGGAGCATAATGACAGGGAAGTACACCCTGGAAATTATTTTCTTTCATTTTTTTATTAAGAATTTACTCCGCTTATTTTTCTGATAAATAACTGAAATAGAAATTTTTCTGTCATCGTGTACACTATTTAAATCAACTTGCTTCCTGCATTAGTGAATTGGCTTTGGAAAATGGTCCCAATAAAACAAAACTGCATCTCACTGTGGCTTCTTCTTAATGTATAACAGCAGCATGTTCTGAGGTCCTCACAGTTAAGTTTTAATTCAATAACACTTTTATCTTTAAAAAGCTGCCTGACCTGAGCTGAAATTGGGCCTGTTGAGATGACGCATTTTATTAATGGTGAGCCCCAGAGAGGATCAAAATACAGACTTCAAGTGCTCCCTGGTGGCTGACAGGCAGAATAACCAAGTGCCTGTAATTTGAAGTCTGAAATAAACAGGTACATGCCGAATTTCTTTCCCTCCTCTCATTTATTTATCATTCATTTATTTAAAAGGATTTATCAAGAACTAACTCTGTTATGAACTTAGAATCAAATTCAAATGTATCAAAAAGACAATAGGGTCAAAAGATAAACTCCTCTATGACAGGAACTGTTTATAGTAGAATGTGGGTGAAAATGACTAGACAATTACAATTCTCCCTGCTAAGTGCTCTTATAGTGGTATTTATTCTATTCCAATCAAGTAATGTCGGTCACATTTATTTTTGTATTAATTCTTATGGCAATTAATATGATCTACAAATTCCTGAAAAATAAAAGCAGCTATTTTCCACATACATGTAATCTATTTATCTACATCTATCTACAAAACATGCCCTGGCCAGTTTGGCTTAGCAGTTGGAGCACTGGCCTGCGGACCAGAGAGTCCCGGGTTTGGGTTCCGCTAGGGGCATGAACAAAAACAAACAAACAAACAAACACCAGCAAAAAAGAAAAACATAGTAACTGCATATTTTTAGAGTTCTTCCTAGGACTAAAATGAGTCCATATTGCTTCTTATGAATATCCATGTTACTTTTTATGATTATTCTATTAATCGTATTTATAGTTTTTAAGTTATTTTAATTCTTGCCAGGTCAGTAGTATCAGATCTATTATTCAGATGAGAAAACTGAGGCAGAAGAAACAGTCTTACCTGATAATTCAGTGTCATAGCTGAGACTAGAACTTGGTTTGACTGTGCCTGTTAGTTTTCTTGGTGGATTCATTGAATGTGTGGTTTCTAATAGTAAATATGTGGGGTTTTATAAAGTCACTGAGTAACATGAGATAGCAATTTACAAGAAGGGTTAAAACACAAATGCACACATTGGATCACTTCCAACATTAGCTACTGAGCAGCTGTCACAATTCTCTTGAGTTGGATGGAGTCTTTTATCAAGTTATGAAAAGTCTCATATTCAATTACCAGTCCCCAGCATCATCCAGGTCCTAGCTTGGCACTGCCCAACCAAATGATACACTTGTAATGCCAAAGCAAAGTGATTACCTAAATAATTTAGTTGGGTCTTCTAATCCTATACAAAAAAAGCTTCTAGTAATTCTAATTAGTATTTTACTCACCCAATGCAGTCATGTAACAGTAATATCCTTTTGAATTTCCAACACTGAGAATGAAAAGGTGCAAGATCTTTAAAGAATGGTTAACATGACTCAATGATGTGAGTCAAGATGTCCACAAGTTGCTTTATTTGAAAGATATCAATGGTTTTAGATGCAAAATACGTGACATTTCAAAGACGTCAAAAAGACTTAGAGATGGTGGAGTTAGTTCTCAGCACTAACATTTTAAAGCTATGCTCTTTAGTATTTTCAATTGCTATAAAGTATTTTTAATTTAATTATTTTTGTTCCATCTCAAAATATTTTCATCTTTTTCTTTTCATATTTTGTTCTGAACTATTAAAATAGTATCTCTATGAGAAATTTTGGTTTGCTTTTGTATACAGTACTATGAAATATGAACTACCTGTTGTTTTTAACATTTCCTCTGTACCATTTGTTTCTTTTTTGATAATGGGTAGCAGAATGATGCCTATAACTATCATTTAACTTTAGATTATTGTTTTATGAAATGAAACATAAAAACTCTGGGGTAGGTTTGGTGATTACGTGTATGTATGTCTTAGGTTCAACATTTTACATAATTAAGCCCAGTTGGTTCCAAGACTACACTTAAAATATAAATTCATCAGAAAGTAAAATTCTCTGGAATGTGAACCAAAAATTAATGTGAGACCTTTCCTCCAACACATCCAATTGCATTTTTACCTTCTTTTGGGCTTCTATGTTTGTTCACTCATTTAATTATTTTGCCCATTTGCCCACAAGTATCATATATAGAAAAAATAATCATGTTCCCTCCCCTCCAGATCAAAAGTTCTAGAACTATTGTGTTGAAGAGAAATTATGCACAGAAAAACAGCAGTGGGAAACCTAAACCAAATAGAAATGCCAGACTATTTTGATAAAGGGCAGAATTCTGAAGGCCAAGAGATAAGTGAAAGGTCTTTCTAGCTTGATGGACTTTCAAAAAGGTATTTAGGGATGAACAGCTTGATACTCTTGGGAACTCTTTAAATAGAGCAATAAGTAAATGTCAGATCAAGAGGGCCTAGATGCTATGGCTGAGTGTGAATTTTACCCTGCAAACCAGAAAGAACCATTTATGTTTCAAGGGGAATAAACTGACTAAACTTGAATTTTAGTAAGATCACTTGGGCAAGTGTAGAAGAGAAACTGGAGGATGCATGGAGCAACTACAGCAAGGAAATATTAGGCACCTACTGTACTAATCTGGTGTCGAACAAAGGCAGTTAAAGGGCAGGGAGTGGCCCGGCTGGTGTGGCTCAGTGGTTGAGTGTGGACTCATGTACCAAGAGGTCGCTGGTTCAATTCATGATCAGGGCACAGGAGCAGGTTGTGGACCAAATCCCCAGTGGGGGGCATGCAGGAGGTGGTCAATCAATGTTCTCTCTCTTCAATGTTTCTCTCTCTCTCTCCCCCTCTCCTTTCCTCTAAAATCAATAAAGAAAAAACAAGGGAAGGGAGTGGACAGTTGACAACCTTGCTACACTCAAAAATGGCCCTTGATCAGCAGCATAAACATTGACTGGGAGTTTGTCATAGATAAAGAATTTTGTGCAACACTTACTTTCTAAATCAGTATTTTCACAAGCTCCTCAGATAATATATGTCTGGGAGGTAATACTCACATTGATAAGGAATACAGAAGGGATAGTCAGTAGAGGGGAAATCACTATCTTAAGGGTGGTCAGTTTGAAGTGTTCATGGAACATCCAAGGAAGCTGATAGCAGATAGGTATACGGGTATGGAGGCTGGGTTGAAGTCTGGTTTGGTGATGCAATTTATCATTTATTAACCTGTTAGTATTTGAAGTCATAGTCCGACCCGTTTCCTGGGATTGTCCCAGGAAAAGCATATCATTAGTCAGGCAGAGGGCCCAGGAGCAAGCCCTAAGAAACACCGTTATTTCAAGTCCCACACGGCAAAAGGTTCTCCACAAGACACAGAAGGAACTTCCAGTGGTAGGAATAAACAATGTGAGGAGTGGGAGGAAAGTTCCAGTGGCAGGATGCTCAACATTCTCAGTTTCCAGCAGAGGTCACGTAAGCACAGACAAGAGTCCATTGGATTTGGCAATCTTGATGTCAGAGTAAAGCTATGGGTGGAGATTATTTCCCATTAAGTTCTTTCTTGACCTTAGTATGTGGGGATGTAATTTAGAGTTTCTGCTTTCAAAGTTCAGATGAGTAGATATGTGAGAGGAGCTTGGTATGGAGCCAGTTTGCAAATGTTCTCTCTTCAAATAGGATGGTAAATTCTTTGAGGAATAAGGAAGGCACATAAAGATGAGTAAGACCCAGTCCTAACTCTCAGAGTTTATAACAAATAAGAAATAAGACAACTGTAGTACAAGATGGGGCATGTATTATAAAATATTATAGGGATTCAAAAGAGAAATACACCATATCTAGACAATCAGAAGAGGCTGCTTACTTCTCCTCAGTTGTTAGCACAGAAATATGCACATACTTAATAAACTACATTACTTGATGACTTTTTCTCTCAACAAATCTGGTGGATTGTTGAAAAGTTCCATTTATTCCAAGATCCAAGGAAACTGCAAAATCATTCATGAGATATTTATTAAAATAACACATTTAGGGAAAAAAATCAATACAATGTATACATCATTACCGAAAATTGAATACCATCATACAAAAAAGGATTTTATTTTGGGAAAGCGATTCCTAATTTATGGCAAGTTTTACTTTCAGAAATAAGACCACAAAACAACACAATCTAATTCAATCTTAAAGGCTGGCATGCTGAGCAAGGAATGTTCTTATTCTTTGTAGAAGCTCCTTCTTTACACTGTCAGGTACCAGGGCTGAAATATAAAAATAAAAATATAAGAGTAAGAATATTCCAATAAATACATGTCCGATGAGATCCGATGTTTTATTCAGAATGACAAATGCATACATTGATTTAATTTATTTTACAAATAATTCTCATGAACTTTAATAGAAAAAATAGGTAAACATCTGAAAAAAGGTATATTTGCAATTCATTTTTTGAATGAACTAATACGGAAATACACTGCACGTTGGAAAGAAAACAAGGGAAAATTCTTTAAATTAGGAGTGAAAAAAAGTCTTTTTTAAATACAGAGGCTATAACAGATTGATAAATTTAATTCAAACGCAACAGCAACTTAATAAGGTTGGTCAAAAATCGCTGTAAACAAAGGCAAAAGACAAAAAACTGGGAAAACACTTCTACAGAAAAGGGCCAATCCCTCTACTCTACAATTTCTTCGATTTGATAAGAAAAAGATCAGCAGGCTAATAGAAAAATGAGCACTGAAAATGAAGAAAAGGAGAAACACACAATTCTTGAACACAAGAGGGGATAAACCTTACAAGAGAAATGAAAATTAAAACCACATTCAGATCACATATTTTACCAATCAGACTGGCTAAAATCCAAAGGTCAAAAATATAGTGTGTTGGTAAGACTGAAGAAAAGATGGACACTCATAATAGCTGCTGGGAGTATAAACTGGTACAACATTTTGGGGAAGGTAATTTGGCAATATTTTATAGAAATAAATGCACATACTCTTGGACTCAGCACAGATGCAAAAACCACAACTGTGGTTATATTTCCTATATTTTTAACTTTTTGAATTTGAACCATGTGACGTGACTGTATTATCTATTCAGAGTATTAAGCTAAAAACGAAAATAAAACCCTGCTCTTTGAAATGTTAATAGTGTCCATAAACAAATCTACATTATTGTTGTTCCTCCTCTGGCTATTAATAAATAAGGACAACAGAGAATTAATGAACACTTCTGTTATTTGGCTTGTGTCCAGAGAAAATGGAAAACTTCAAATATAGTTCAGTATTTCTATAAAGAATTCCAGAAATAAGTACACAAATCAAATGAGACAGATACTCCTTTGTATAAATTGTTTAGCTTAAGCCCGCCTAGAAATAGAGACTACATAATTCAAGTCCACTGGAAATGTGATCAATATGTATATTAAAGTCTTTTAATCAACATTATGGTGCTGGAGAAGAGATCAGTTACTTTGGGTTGGGGATAGGGTGTGAAACAAAAGGAGGCTTGAAGGAGTTTTATGGGAATGGTGGTTGTATGAATTCATACGTGTACAAAAATCATACAGTAAAAAAGTAAATTTTACTATATATTTAAAAAAAGAAAATGCTTCTACTCTTAACAATAAAGAAGACTAAGCATAAAAGAACAGATTTATTTTCACTTCTCTTTGCTTATTTGCTCCTTCTCTAGCAAAGGAGCTACAAGGGACTGATATGTCCAAGATACCAGTGTTGAAGGAGGAGCAAAGGACAATTTCTACCCTGTATAACCAGTTCCTAAATAATGTTAACATATTAAACATATATTACTGAAGTAAAACAGAAAACAAAATTAGGGAACATTATTTTAAAATATAAATTTATGAGGGAACAATAAATACTACTATTGGTTTTATTTTTCTTTCCCTGAGATATGGGTAAAGAAAATGTCAGATTTTTGTAGCTGTAACTAGGCCAAGATATGGTGGAAAGGTTCATGGGATTCCCTAGTTCCCTCCCAGCAGATAAGCAGTTCAGGGAACTAGTAGTCTCTACTTAGGATTTTCAAACTTATTTATTTTTACACCTAAATTCTTTTTACTATTTTTTTGTGTGAGAAAACAATAAGCCATCTAATTTACCTAGTACCATTTAAACAGACTTTCTCAAAATAAAAAAAATAAAAAATATGGCTCCATCTAAGATAACAATATAATGTAGTTTCTGACAATATTTGTTACATAGCATCACTGTTAATACATTTCCTTTCTTTCATTTGCCTTCTGTAAACAAGGAATTCAAAGGAGAAATGAAGGTGGTTATAGTGTGACTCTTAAATACAGATTACCCTAAACATGAAGTTACAGCACTATCAAATTCTTAACCAGTCATTCAAGAAGACAGAGCTTTGTTTCTTTTTAATAAGCAAAGAGAGAGCAGACCAATAATTCAGGGACAAGAGTAAAACTTTGAATTATTAAATATTTAAGTGAGCCTAGCCAGTGTGGCTCAGTAGACTGAGCTACTGTCCCATGGACTGAGAGGTCCGGGTCCACTCCTGGTCAGGGCACATGCCTGGTTTTGGGCTCAATCCCCAGTACGGGGTGCACAGTCTCTCTAAAAAAATCAAAAACATATTTAAAAATAAATAAATATTTAAGTGAAGCCAGGCCATATTTAATAGTTTATTAATATTTGCCTCTACAAGATTTCATATTTTAAAAATTATCTATCTTAACAATCATATCAACTTATTTGTATACTATTTCAAAGTGTAAAAACATTTTGCACCTCTTATCTCATCTGTTACTCAAAACCATGCTGAGAGGCAGGTAGGCAATTATACTTCTTCCCAATGAGAAAACACCAAGTGCCCAAATAATTTTGGAAAGGTTGTTTTTCTTTGTAGAAAGAAAAGCTGAGTCAGTATGACAGAAAAAAATCATGTCTTTAGCACAGGTTTCCTTTCACACAGTTTGTAGTCCTTACCTCTGCCTTTTGGTGTGATTTCAGCCACCAAGTCATCAACAGTAACGTGTTCTAGTCCTTTTTCTTTAATTACCTCTTATGCAAAAGCAAAAAACAAATCATATCATTTAAAATCATTATCTGTAAGAAAGATTTTCATAGAGGAAGGATTAAGATCATGTTTTTAGAGTGCAGATTGGTCTTTAAAAAAAAAAAAGAGAGAGGACACTTCTTTTTAGATACATTAAATATTCACCAGATAAATCATAAAAGCCTATTCATCTTTCGGCTAAATAACTTATATTTTAACAAATAAAACACAGAATGAATCTGAACTGTAAGGTCAAATCTAACATTTGTAAAAACCCAGTAAATTATAACTGCACAGATCTCATTTCACTGTAATCATATTAGCTCTTAAGTGTATGGAGGGGGAAAAGCTATTATTTGTGTCCAGCTTAAAATTTCATAGCCCAAAATGAAAATACAGAACTCCTTTGCTCCTTTCTCTTCTCTAGACTGGGCCAAAAGAAACAGAGGAGGGAAAGGAGTTCACATTTACTGAACCCTATTATGTGCTGGATGCTTTGCATCATTTAATATTCGCAATAATGTAATGGGCTGGGCATTTTTCCCATTTCACAGGTGAGGCAACTGAAGCATAAAGATTAAATAACTCATCCAAACATGAATTCAAATTCAGCTCTAGTCTTTTCAGTGAAGATCTGTATGACCTCCAACTCTATGCTTTTACTACTAATTTGTTACATTGCCTTCTCAGGGTTAATGTAATAAATAACTGCTACTATCATTACTACTTGTAGAAAACATTACAATACAATGGTAAATCATTAAAAATAACCAAAATGCTATTATACTAAAAGCTGAGTCAGAAAGAAGGTTCATCATAGTGACACGTGTAATCTATCTGGCGGTATCATCATCAACAGTAAGCAATTTAACAAGTTCCCATTCTACATTTAAAAAAATAAGTATAATTCTCTAGGAGATTTTAAGATGAATTTTTCAAAACACTGTTAATGACAAGATATAATTCCTATCTGTTCAATTAAAACACATTATGAATAAGTAATGTTTCACTTTGAACAGGCACACTGCAAAAGGTGGGATTCCACATTTTGAAGCCAGAAAAAATCATGCCTCCGTCATTTTAAGAGAAACAAAAAAAATATCTAAAAATTTAGAAATTAGGTCTAAATATTATCAGAGAGGAGGAAATTATTACAAGAGTCAATTTTCCAGTTGTTTAAAATTATGTCTGAACACTTAATATACCTTTAAAATACTGACTAATTTTTCTAGTGAACCCCAAACCAACAGTTGAGAGCAATGGAATTAGCTTATCTGCTAAATGAAACTGATTACCTTTACAGTGTGCCTTCAATTGATCCTTCCAGCCACATTCAATTAATTTAGCTCTCAGCAACTCTTTGAGGCTGTTGAAATAAAAGTGTTTTCAAATTAAAACTACAACAATGTACAATATCTTAGATAGGAATGTTTGAATCAAAGGTTCAACTCTTCAATTAAAAATCCCCTCCCTTCCAGTCACAAAATGTTCAATTCTTGGTTCTATCACAAAATAGTTTAGATAGTTCTTTGATCTTCTGCGAATCATGGTCTCATTTTCATTATCAGTAAAATAAAATGAAGTGGATGGGCAAAATACTTCTCAAGAAACTACTCTGGCCTTCTAACACGCTGTCTTTCCCCCTCCACCACCAAGAACACTGTGGAGCTGTACTTCTGGAGGGTATTTGTTGACCTTGGAAAAGCTGCATCTCTGAAAACTTCAAATTCCAAAATCCCTTCTCTGACTACAAATTCTTATCCTTCAGCTCTCTTACTTCTCCATTATTTCTCTCTCTAACCTCAAAGGCTTCCTCCTCCCTTTTTCCATTAACCTTCTAAATTATATATCAACTATGTATTTCATTGACTCTGATACTCCCTCCCCCCTTTTTACAATTCAGTAACTGGTATGCCTAGCATAATTTAAAAAATGTTTTATGTATTGATTTTGAGAGAGAGAGAGAAGAAGAGGAGAGAGAGAGAAGAAGAGGAGAGAGAGAGAGAGGGAGGAGATAGATTAATTAGTTGTTTCACTTATTTTATGTATTCATTGGTTGATTCCTTTATGTGCCCTCACTTGGATGGGACCCACAACCTTGGTTACCTGGCCAGGGACCTATCATAATTTAATTGGCAGGGTTTTCTTTTTTCTTACTAGCTTAAAAAAAAAAAGTGTATATTGCAATTAATGGCGTCATGGATGTAATAAAATATTTTCTTATCAGTATTTTCTGATCCTTTTGCCATACCCACTTTAATAAATCTTCAATCTTCAACCTAAATCATCTAATTTTTCAGCTCAAAAATGTTACCTATCAAACCAAACATCTTCTTTCAGTATTTCTATGCCTCCACTATGTGACATTTTCATCTCAAGATTTAATCAGGTCTTTCAAATCCAAACCCAACTCATGCCTCATGCTTCTATCCACCTCAACCTGTTCTCCTTGTCACAATGGCAATTACTCCAGTTCCTCAGGCTAGAAACCTTGGCAGCGTCCTTCACTGCAACTCTGTTAACACTACACATCCAATCTATGAGCAAATCCCACTGTTTCGTTTTAAAATATATATCTGCAATCCAGATGTTTTTCATCATCTCTGCCATTACTACCATTGTGTAAGCTACCACCTTGTTTTGACTGGACTGTTACCAAAGACTCCCAACTTGTTTCCCCTGCTTTTCCCCCTTGTACACTTCCATTCTCCTCCCACTGCTCAAAACTTTCCAGAGGCTTGCTAATTTACTCAGAATAAACTTCAAGTCTTATTATAGCCTAAATGACCCTCCATGATCTGCCCCACCCCAGCTATGCCCTGACTTTATCTCTTCTTTTCCTCCTCCCAATTTATTCAGTCTCATTAGCTTCCATGTACTCACGCCTCAAAATGCCAAAAAGCTTGTCTCAGGACCTTAGCTCTTGGAGTTCCCGCATCTCCCTCAGATCCTTCTGATCTCTTATCAGTGAATCCTTGTTTTTCTCTATTCAAAATAACATACCCCATTATTCTCTGCTTTGTTTTCCTCTAGAACTCATCATTACCTGACATTTTAGACATTTCTTGTGTCTGTTTTCTCCCATTAGAATGTAAGCTCCATGAAAGGACAGACTTCATTTTGTTCACTACTATAACTTCAGCACCTTAACAGGACATGGCATGTGGTAGAAACTCAGTAACTAGGCTGCATAAATAAAAACAGAAACAAATAAAAAATAAAAATAAACATAATCCCCTATACTCATTACTGGCAATACTATCTTCTCTGCTTCCCAAGGCACCTTTCTAGTTTCTACCTTCTTCCTCATTTCTGATTTTACTTAAAAAACAAAACAAAACAAAACAAAAAAACCCAAAAAACTAAAAACTCCCCACCAAAACCTAAGTTCTCCTTTCCATTTTACTGTTTTTCATTTTTAACCTGGTATAATCGTCTCAACACATTCTCCTGCACTCTGTCTCTAATGCATTCAGTCTCTCCCCCACACTGCCAGAATAACATTCCTAAAGTGCAAATGTGATCTAGTCATTCCCTTTTTAAAAATCTTCTAATGACTCCCATCATCCAAGGATAAGATCAAGAACAGATGTTTTTGCAAACCCACCACCTATTTTTCTGCCTTAAACACACACACACACACACACACACACACAGATACAAAAAAAACCCCCACAAAACAAAAACCCTCTACCACTCTGTGTAAGAAATTTGAGTAAGGTTCCAGTGATGGAAATGTGACCTAGGCAAGAGTATCATAACTGGCCTATTACCTAAGTAAGATGGTAATCAAGCTAGGTCTATACTGAAAATACTAGGAGGAATGTAGTCTGAGCCAGAGGTATATACATTTTGAACTACTAATCTCTGTGGTAGAGACTGTTTGAGAATAAAACCAACACAGAGGAAAGCAGAACTGAAAGAAAAGAAAGACATATCATTGACAATAATTTTGATTGCCTAAAGAAATTTCAAGCTCTAGACTTTTTAGTTAGAACTTATATATTTCCATTGGTTAAGCCAGTTTCTGTCATTTTCAACTAAAATAATTCTGATTCATACAAAATCTATTCCTCCTGTCCACTGTTGCAGCCACACAGTTTTTACTCTTTATCCTCTGGCTTTAATTCTGCACTTCCCCAGATCATCATATTGTAACAAAGCTGTGATTCTGCACATCGTTCTATCTGCCTAGATTGTCTTCTCTATTGGTGTGGATAACTGCTAATCCTTCTTCCCCAGTTGAAGTACCTCTTTTACTATGAGACCTTAACTGATCACCATAACCTACAGGTAAAGTTGAAAGATCCCTCCTGTTCCATATATATATTTCTCTCACAATTAATCACCCTGCTTCTGAAAGTCTTTTTTGATTCCTCACCCTCTTCTTTGTACTTTCAAACTCTTTTGTTCCTTTTCCAAATATTTACTTAGCCATTTACGAGCTGGGCATGATACAGGATATACAGTGGTATTTTGTTGTCAAGTAACTTAGATTATATTGAAGGATACCAACTAGCAAAGTAGGTAGTCCCAATATAATGTGGTTAAATGCTCCAATAGAACAAGGTATTTGGGAGTTAACAGACTCTCAGAAGAGATATTTAAATTAAGACCTGAAAGATGAGCTACTTGGAGAAAAAAGAGGAATGTTTCAGAGTACAAATAGTACATGCTACTCTCGGGTTAAGAGAGTTTGGTAATGCCCTGGTCATTGTGGCTTGGTTGGAGTGTCGTCCCATACACCCAAAGATCTTGGGTTCCATCCCCAGTCGGGGTGCTTACAGGAAGAGACCAATCTATGTTTTTCCCACATTGTGTTTCTTTCTTTCTCTCTCTCTCTCTCACTCTTTCTCCCTCCCTCCCTCCCCTGCTCCTCTCTAAAATCAATAAAAACATATCCTTGGGCCCTGGCCAGTTTGGCTCAGCGGTTAGAGTGTCGGCCTGCGGTCCGGAGAGACCTGGGTTCGGTTCCCGCTAAGGGCACGTACTTCGGTTGCAGTTTGTCTCCGGCCCTGGTTGGTCGTGCGGGTGGCAGCCACTCGATGTGTCCCTTCACGTCGATGTTTCTCTCTCTCTCTCCCTTCCTTTCTCTCCCTCCCACTCTACCTGTACAAAAAATGGAAAAATATCCTCAGGTTAGGATAAAAAAAAACAACAACACATATCCTTGGGTGAGGATTAAAAAAAAAAAGAGAGCTTGGTAACTAAAACTGGTTTTATTATGCTGTCTCCCTGTTAAAAACTGGTTAACATTATGTCTCCAATTGTAGTTACTGGAAATTTTCTTCACTATTATACAATCTTTGAGAGTCATTTCTTGTTCATTTTTCTATATTATCCACTTCCCGCTAAGTCTTGCAATACTGAATAGACATGTTTTTTACAGATGTGAGGAATGAAAGCTTTGGACAATCTCTACTTTCTGTAATTCTTTCCACCGACATCAGTTTTGTTTCTTGATATTTTTATTTTCTATACACAACATAACTATAATTTAAAGGTGTTTAACGTAACTTATTAACAGTCTATTACTTACCGTTCTCTTTCTCCAGTTTCTATCAACTTTTGGTTAATCGCTGCTCTCATCTGCGCATCTTTGTTCATCTTGCTAACCTGAACATCAACATGTGTTTTCAGATATAGAACATTTATAAAGCATTTTTCTTCTAAATCCTCTAGGCAAGCATCTCAACACATTTAACATTCATTCTACCTACCAAAGGGGTAATAATTTTCAACAATGTGTTAACATCATTACTCTTAATATTTACTGCATCCCAAGAAGTCACACTGATAAATTCACTTCAGTTTCCTTCCCCCATATACCCTTTATTAAAATGAGACTTTAGTAGTTATTATAACATTTACTAAACACTTAACGTGCCTGGTACTGGGCTAACACATTAGTTTTTTTTTTATTTAATTCCCATATCTTATTCTTTTATGTAAGTATTATTAACATAATCTGTATTTTACAGATGAGGAAACTGAGGCACTGAGATAGAAAATGGTGAAAGCAGGTTTTGAACTCAGGTGCTCTGACCCCAGAACCCCTCGCCCCCCCCAAACACTTCAACAGCACATTATAACTGATCGCTAATCATTTCTGTACCTTAATTGCGTTCAACATTTTGGGAAAGCCGTAATATGAGCTAAGTAGCAATAAAAGATTAAGCAATGTTGGTGAAAAATGAAACTACCAAATAAGGTTTTAAATTGCTTTACTTTTCACTAGGATGTGTCCAGACTCACAACTACCAAACTAGCTCTAAGTAAATTTGTTTGCTCGTTGTGGAAGCTTGCTGGTTAGATAAGGGGGAAACATGTCCCAAACTAATTCTTAACTTAGAAAATTCACGATTTTCGGGGAAAAAAAATGAACCACCAACGCCAAAGCAGTGTAGAAAGAAGAGGAAGGTTAGGCTGTAAAACTTGGAACAAGTTTTACTTGTTTCCTAGCATGACTTCACTGACTCTGCCGCTGACTTCAGACCACTGTGGTCGTCTCCCAGCTGGTCTGTAGGAACACGCAGACTGGCAGTGAGTTTTCAGAGTTGCGTTCTTCCCCCAGTGCAACAGGAAAAAAGAGAGGCTGAGAAAGGATGAGGAAATGTGTGCTTTTGTAGTCGGAGGCGAACATCTTCAAAATAATTCTAAGGTCTAGTCCGGACCATTCCCAGAATATTGAACTTAAATCTCGCCTTGGCCCCTAAAATACAGATAGTGACCTTGGACAAGTCAATTCTTAAAGACCTCAGTTTTCTCACTGGTAAAACCAGGGCGCTAGGGGATCCCTCCCAGTTCAGTCATTCTTTGGGAAAACAGAATAGGGCGGAGACAGCGGGAGAGGCGGGAGGGGAGGAGCCAGAAAACAAAGCGAGGACTGGCTTCAGGCCAACTCCGGTAGCACGCCGTGTCGGAGAGCCCTACAGGCCCGCGAGCGCGGGTCGGGGAAGCTAACGAAAGACAGCACATCGAAAGGAGCCTGGGCTGGGCCCGGGTCCCGGCCCTGAGGACCACGGGCATAGCTCACCACCATCACCGCGGGCGAGGGCCGTCCCTTCCCAGCGACGAAATGACCCTTGCGCTGACGACCGTTACCTACCACACTCTTCGGCTGCCCAGACTTAGACCCTCAGTAGCTCGGGCGCCTAAGCTCACAGAAAGCTAGAACACGCATTTCCGGGGCGGGGCCTCGCCACCCTGCCTATAATGTGAGAATTTAACCAGCGCGGGCCGCCTCCTGGTCGCTTAGCCCTCTGGGTAAGGGAGTCCAGCTCCTGCTGTCGCGAGGGCCGTGCGTCTTCCGAAAACTACGTGGCCCAGCATGCAATAGTCAACTTTCTCACGGGCACTACATTTCCCAGAAGGCATTCTGAAACGCAGGGTTTTCTGGGATGGGACCCACGCAGCCTCCCAGCCTCCGTGCTGCGATTGAAGCGCGGACCTTTCAACAAGAGCTTTATTAATTCTCACGCTAGGATCCTGGAAGGCGATGGAGGTGGCCGCTAATTGCTCCCTGCGGGTGAAGAGACCTCTGCTGGATCCCCGATTCGAGGGTTACAAACTCTCCCTCGAGCCGCTGCCCTGTTACCAGCTAGAACTTGACGCAGGTGGGAAGCGGCGGCACTTTTCCATTTCCCTTTCGGATGCCCGGGGCCAGACCCTTCCCGCATTTTCTTCCTTTCTCACTCGGGCTGGCAAGGCGACCGGGGCCTTCCTTACGGCCCGTCGGGCTCGAGGGGAGCAGAGGGTGGCGGTTTCTGGAGAAGGACGTCCATCCCGGAACTCCCCGGGAGCCACCTTCTTGCGGCTCTTCTGTAGCGGGGCCACCGGCCGGCACTCGGCTCGGCCGCTGGGGTTCCGAGGGCTGGCACGGGGTGCTGCTTGGGCTCAGGCCGCCTGTCGGTCCCTGCTTGGTCCCTGCTGCGGAGAAAGCCCAGAACTTGCTTTCCCCATGGAGCATCCTCTGTGAACGTGTGCGTTGAGGCCACACCTCCTTGGAGGACCCCGGCTCGTTTCCTCTGGCGGAGACCGACCCATTTCTTAAAAGAGAAAGAAAAACTCCGTGGCAGTTCAGAGCATTTTCAATTACCTGGGTGATATTAGACTAGTCCTTAGTCTTGAACATCTCTAGGAAATTTGAATAAGTTGATTTTCGTACCTATACATCTAATTACTTGTTCATTTGTAGCTGGCCAAAATAAATTCTTTTTTTTTTTAAAACAAGGTGAAGAATGGCATTCTCATTGATGGTAGAGAGCCCAAAGATCTGCGTTTTTTAATACACACCCATGCTGATTCTGATGCATGTTGTCAATAGATCACACCTTGAGAAATACTGATCTAGAGTTAATTTAATTGTATAGTGTCAAATAAGGAATAAGTGCTCGATTCATTTATAAAATTCAGAAATATCTATTGGGACCCGTTTTATGTTACATGCTAGTATCAAGGTGAGTGTGACAGTCTGTAACATAAAGGTGCAATTGTCTAGAGAAGAAAAGTAAATAATTGCAGAACGATGTGGTAAGGCAGTGATTAGGATATGTACAAACCATAATGGTAGTACTTAAGTGTATTTCCAAGCCAGCCTGGGGAAAGCTTCCTGGAGTCCATATCTAAGTTGAGCTTTGGAGAATAGGTAAGAGTTGGTCATGGTAGGATAAAATGAGTTTAATTTTCCTTTTTATTCCATTCCTGTCCCACTCCATATCAGTAAATGGTACTACCATGGTTAGTTAGGTTATGCATTAAAAAAAAAAATCACCCAAACCCAGCTGATGTGGCTCAGTGGTTGAGCATCAACCCATACACCAGGAGGTTGCCGGTTCAATTACCTGTCAGGGCACATGCCCAGGTTGTGGGCCCAATCCTCAGTGGGGGCATGCAGGAGGTGGCCAGTCGATGTTCTCTGTCATCGATGTTTCTTTCTCTCCCTCCCTCTCCCTTCCTCTTAGGAAAAAAAAAAAAATCAATAAAGAAAAAAAATGCACCAAATTAAAAAAAAGAAAGTACCCTAAAACTCAGTGGCCTAAAACAATAAGCAGTTATTGTTGCTCACAAGTCTATAGGAGGTAGGTGGTTCTAAGTGTGGCTTGGGCGCATTTGTGCATTTTTATTCAGTTATGGGTCTGCTAGGTGTCTCTGCTCATCTTGGCTGGACTTCCTCGTGTGTTTAGGGGTTCTCTGGCTATAAACTGGCTTAAGAATATTTCAGATGGTCCCTGTTGAGCTCTGCTCCATGTGGTCTCTCTTTAGCCTGCTAGTCCAGGCTTATTTCAAGAGACAAGTAGTAGTGCAAAAGCACTTTTTGAAGCTACTGCTTGGAATAAGTTTGCTGTTATCCTTTTACCTAAGCAAGTCATATAATCACGCCTAGAGTAATTACGTAAAACAATCTCACACCAAATGGCATAGATCCAGGGAGTCATAAAAAATTGGGACTATTAGTGCAGGTCTGTATAATTGTGTATACTGAAGTTATGGAGTTATTTGTTCTTAAGTCCCCCTATTCAATCTGTCAGCAAATCCAGTCCACTCAAGATTTTGGCTTCTTCATGCCTCTGCCTTTGTCCAAGTCACAGTTATCTCTTACCTGAACTATAGTAGCTTCCCGACTGTCCTTCCTTTCTTCACTTTCGGGCTCCTTCACTCCATTCTCCATTAGGCAGTCCAGTTATAGTTTGTAATTCTATATTTATTTTATATCTGTTTCCTTCACTAGACTGTGAGCTCCATGAAGACAGTGATGTTTCTCCTTACTTTCTACTCTGTCATTGCTATTGGAATAGTGGGTGCTCAATAAATTGAGTGAATGAAGGAGAGAAGGGGGAAAAAAATCTGGGAAAGTGAGACAGGACTTAGAAAGATAGGTGAGGGCACTGTTTATCTTTCGGACTTTACCTTGTCAGTGTTTCCCAGACTTCTGCAGGGGCCTTACAATAAAACATAAAGCTCATTTGTCATAGATTTACCAACTTTTTAATGTGCCAAATGGAGATGTTTCTTAAAAACTGTCATGTACTTGCCTGACGTGTGGCTCAGTTGGTTGAGCATCGTCCCATATATTAGGAGGTCACTGGTTAGATTCCTGGTCAGGGCCCCCGTTGTGGGCTTAATCCCTAGTAGGGGGCATGTAGGAGGCATCCAGTCCATGTTTCTCTCTCATCTATAGTTCTCTCTCCCTCTCCCTTCTCTCTGAAATCAATTAAAAACATATTTAATAAAACAAACAAAAACAACTGTCACATGCTCACCCATCCTTTCATAAATAAAAGGATATTTTAACACCAAAAAAGCAGGAAGCAAAACCTCACAATATATAGCTCTCTAAATCAAATACATTAGTTTTTATTAAAAACTCTACTAAGCTGCCCTTTTTCTCCCCTCATTTCACCAGTATTGGTCTTAGATTCTCTGTTTGGCATGCACAACTGGAGCTGATGAGGTGCCATTTAGGGTTTTAAGTATAGAAGGAAAGTCGATTTGGGATTTGAATGGTTTGTTCTTGGGCTCTGTGGAGGTTGAATTTGGAGACAGGGAGATCAGCTTAATGCTTTGAGGTGGTTCACGTTGAGGGGCTTAACATTAAGATGTACTTGAGGGTGATGATGAAAAAGAGGTTAATTCCTTTAAAATCTGTCATTTCTAGAAATAGTGAGGTATGATTCAGGAGATGTTCCTGACGGCTTGACTTCTTATACACTAACCCAAGGAGTTATTCAGCAAACTGTTACTCAGCGCCTCTGGCTTGGGGAGGTCTGTGTTTAGGACATGAGGATGAAGATGTGGTCCCTGGTCTCAAAGAGGTTGGAGGTTTATTCCGTTGTCTTAAATAGTGTTATTAAATTGTTCTAAAATTCCCTCTGCTGTGTAAACAGTACATGTCACTATATTTATCTATTTTAAAGAAGTAAGCAAAAAACCTTCTTTATAAATTGTAATTGCCCTTTGACCCAGCAATTCCATTTCTGGGCATTTATCTTATAGACGTTTTTGCCCTGGAATATTTTTTTTACTATGTTTTTATTGATTTTTTTTTAGAGAGAGAGGAAGGGAGAAAGAGATAGAAACATCGATGTGAGAGAGAAACATGGATCGGCTGCCTCCTGCATGCTCCCTACTGGGGATCGAGCCTGTAGCTCCGGCATGTGCCCTGACAGCGAATTGAACCAGGACCTCTGAGTCCATGGGACGACGCTGAATCTTCTGAGCCACATGGCCAGAACCTAGAATCTTTATTCAGTAAATATCTTTGTATATATTTTTTCCTTATATTTCACCTTGCTAACTCATACTCCATTTTTCCGTCTTCATCCATGTGTTAGATTGCTTTCTCTACTACCTAGTTAAAATCTATACTACAGAATCTGTACGTTTTAGAATCTGTACTATCACATCGTACTGAGTACTTCATAGACTTTGTCTCATTTAGTAACATTCAATGTCTTTTCTATGCTGACTGTTAGTTCTGTATTGATGAGTCCTGTGTCCATTTTCCTCAGTGCTTTATCTCTAGGGCTGGAGCATGCCTGATGAATAATGGATTGTTTTATATCACACACATTACACAGCTTTATTGGGATAAAATTGGCAATAAATTCCATATATTTAAGTGTATAGTTTGGCAAATTTTGACATATGTATACATTCATGAACTCATCACAATCAAGATAGTAAACTTAGCTGTCATTTCCCAGAGTTCTGTGTGCCTTTCTGTAACCAGTCCTCTATTCCTTCCCATTCCCCTTCAATCCCTAAGCAACTACGGATGTACTTTCTGTCACTATAGGTTACTTTTTTGCATTTTCTAGAATTTATATTCATGGAATTATACAGTGTGTATTTTTTTTTTTTGTCTGTAGTCTTTTACCCAGCATAATTACTTTGAATTCATCCTTATTGGATTGAGAGAGGGATATTGTAATCTGACTATAATTGTGGATTTTTCTAATTTTCCTTGCAGTTCTGTCAGTTTTTGCTTCATATATTTTGAAGCTCTATTATGTTGTATAAACATTGATTATTGTGTTCTCTTGATAATTTGACCCTTTTATCATTATGAAATAGCCTTCTTTAACCTTGGTGATAGTTTTTAACGTCTTTGCGCCTTAGTATTTAGCATGCATTTCTTATTGGCAGAAATAGTTGGAGCTTGTTTAT